TTACTTTCATTATCTCAAAATTGTCTCCCTCCTTTTTAGAAAAATGATTTTGTATTGAAAACTCATAATCAAACATCATCTTTTACAGACTCAACAGAGAAAATCAATATAAAGAAAAAAGATTTCTTAAGAAAAAAAGAAAAAGAGACCAAGAAACGATAGTCCTCAGTCCTCATTAATGACGATCATTTTTCTTTAACTTTTTAAGGCCCCGTTCACTTCGCTGATTCGAATTTAGAATTCGAGTTTTTCTACAGTAAAAAGCTCTCACAAACAATCACATCTAACTTTTTTGTTACGGTAAAAAGCTCTCACATAAAATCACATCTTAACTCGAATTCTAAACTCGAATCAGCGAAGTGAACGAGGCATCATTTCAAATGGTTTTTGATTCCTATTGGGTTAATGAACACCTAAATTAAGAGCATATTTAGTTCGCTGATTTAAATTTTTAATTTGAATTTAGATGTGATTTTATGTGAGAACTTTTTATCGTAGTAAAAAAATTAAATGTGACTGTTTCTAAAAATTTTTTTACTGTAATAAAATTCAAATTCTAAATTTGAATCGATGAAATAAACAGAGCTTAAATCTTCCGTTAATCTGAGCTCACTATAAATTGGGGCCTCTGCGCTTTTTGGTTTTTTTTTTTTTTGTTCTTTGTTTGTTGAACTCTTCAATTTTTGAGTTCTTAACATCGATATAGAAATGCCATAGATGATAGAATTAAAAGCACAAAATTGCATAGTTTAAAAAAAATGGATGAAGTAAAAATGGCAGAATAAGAAGAGTGAGGAGACAGAGAGACAGGGACTTAAATTTTGTGATGTGTCGATATCGGACGGACGTGGTTTTTAGTCGGATCTATTGTTGACATCGGTACTCCTCCTCTATGAACGTTTTCGACGGCAGCGCATAAGGAGAGAGAAGAAAATGAGTTTTACCCAAACGATTTTATATCCGGAGGAATTATTCAATATACTGAATGTATCACGTCATATTATTTATGTGGTATATTTAATTAATAAAATTATATCATTTAATAAGTTCTCCATTTTTATTTTTCTCTTTCTTAATAGGTATTCAATGCAAATACATATTAAGAAAGAGAAAAATAAAAATAGAAACTATTAAATGAGTGTATTAAATGATACAATCTCATTAATCAAATGTACCATATAAATAATATGACGTGGTACACCCTGATAAAAAAATAAAATTTTAAGTGGTGGCACTCTTGTAAATAGGTTTAAAACAAATAACTTTTCATTAAATAGATTTATTTAAAAAAGAAAAGATGACACATGTAATAAGAATAGATTAATATCAAAAAAAGAATCGGTAATAAAATCTCTATTTAGCACTCCTCAGCTTGGATTATTTCTGACATTTTATCCTTAGCTTCTGAGTGTTATTCCGTCTTTTATTTTTGTTCCAAAAACTGTTAAATGATGTGGCACATGATCTTTGTACTTGGGCCAGACTATCGTCTATGGATTCTGTTTGGTCTCAGTCAATTAAATGGTTTTTTCCCAACAAAAAAAAAAAACTAAAATATCTATCATATTTAAAGTCTGCCACTCTGTCTCTCTAATTCGCAGACAGGGACAGAGGGGGGCTCGGCTCGGGAGGCGTGCCCCATCGATTTTTTTTGTTGAGAAAATTGATTTTTGATTTTTATCAATATGATTTTTCGAATTTGTTTTAAGGCAAGCCTCCAATGAAGACAAATTTTAAATATAGTTCACAAAATCCATCTCAATGTTTTATTTCCCTTTCAGTTTTTTTTTTTTTTTTTTCTTATTGTTCTTTTGGTCTTTTTCTATTACATCTTAAATTTTTTTTTTAAAAGAAATTACATCTTATCTTATACTTTTAAGTCTACCTAATTAAATTATTATTTTTTTCTTATTTACTTTTATGAAAACATTTTTCATTCAACTTCGTCCTTTCTAAAATATTTTAATATTTATATAATCATTATTTTTTGATAAACACCTTGTTTTCAAGTTTGCTCTTATTAAAATAATATATAATTTTTTAAATGTGTCATTATATATTTAAACATCATTTTTATTTTAGGGCAGTCACAACTACTATTTTTTTAATTTTATATTCTAAATATATTGTTTTATCTCTAACTTTGTCTGCTAAAATATTTATAAGTCAAATATGTACCATTTGTCTATATTTACTATTCAATCAAATATATATTTTTATGAAAACATGCATTTCAATTCATTCTACTTATATATATATATATTTTTTTTACTAAACTAAACTCTTAAAAGAGTTATAAATTCAAAAAAAAATTAAATTCTTTAAAATTTAAGAGACGTTTGTTTTCTATATTTATTTCTGATTCTGAATTATGATTCATGATTCTTTATAATATATTTTTTTAAAAAAATACACATAAAATAAAAATAATTTTAAATCATAATTACGTAAAAAATTCTAATAAATTAATCAATATGCACTTTTATAACATGCTTCTATCTATGGACTCTGTTTGGTCTGAATCAATTCAATGGTGTTTTTCCCAACCAAAAAAAAAACAAAAAAAACAAAAATATCTATCATATTTAGAGTCTGTCACTCTGTCTCTCCAACTCGCAGACGGGGGGCAGAGGGAGGCTCGGCTTGGGAGGCGTGCCCATGGATTTTTTTTTGTTTTTTTGAGAAATTTGATTTTTGATTTTTTATCAGTATGATTTTTCGAATTTGTTTTAAGGCAAGCCTCCATTAAAGACAAAAATTTCAAATATAGTTCACAAAATCCATCTCAATGTTTTATTTCCCTTTTAGTTTTTTTTTTCTTATTGTTCTTTTGGTCTTTTTTTTATTAAATCTTAATTTTTTTTAAGAAATTACATCTTATCTTATACTTTTAAGTCTACCTAATTATATTTTTTTTTCTTATTTACTTTAATGAAAACATTTTTCATTCAACTTTGTCCCTTTTAAAATATTTTAATATTTATATAATTACTATTTTTTTTATAAACACCTTGTTTTCAAGTTTGCGCTTGCTAAAATAATATATAATTTTTTAAATATGTCCTTATATATTTAAACATCATTTTTATTTTGCGGCACTCACAACTATTATTTTCTCAATTGTACATTCTAAATATATTTTTTTATCTCTAACTTTGTCTGCTAAAATCTTTATAAGTCAAATATGTACCACTTGTCTATATTTACTAGTCAACCAAAAATATATTTTTATGAAAACATGCGTTTCAATTCATTCTACTTAAATATATATATATATATATATATTTCACTAAACTAAACTCTTAAGAGAGTTATAAATTCAAACAAAAAAAATTAAATTCTTCAAAATTTAAAGTCACGCATAAAAAACTGACTAATATGCACTTTTATAACATGCTTCTAACTAGTTAATGATGCATCGAAGCAAAAAAAAAAAAAAAAATAGTTAATAATATTATGAGTAAACTTTGTTTAGGTTTTAATATCTTTAGGTCTCGTTAATTTTACCAATTTGAATTTAGAATTTGAGTTTTACTACAGTAAAAAGCTTTCAGAAATAACCACATCTATTTTTTTTGTTACAGTAAAAAACTCTCATATAAAATTACATCTCAATTCAAATTAAAAACTCGAATAAACGAACTAAACGGACTCTTAATATTTTTAATGTACATCCTTTCAAAACAAAATTCCGATTCTCTCACTGATTAGGAACTTTTAGAGGTACACTTCACATTGTCGTAAAGAGCCAAAGAGGCTTCATTTTAAGCTTTCCAAATTGAATCTAACGACTTATTCGAACTATTACAATCCAATGGTCCGATTTGAACATCTGAATTGTTGATTAAATGGTTATGATCCAACGGTCTTAATTAATTGACTGTTAATTAATTAACAGATGTGTTTGTTGCAACAGTTCATGAAAAGATAGCTTTTGGCTAAAGATTGTGTCTGCTGTAATACTTATAGCTCCTTACGAAAAGACACGATTTTCATTATAAATAAAGTCCAAATCTGATGTCACTTTTATCTTTGTTCTGGGAATTCAAAAGTTTGCTACTTATTCAGTTAAGTTTATTGTATCTTGAAGTTAATTAAAAAAAAAAAAAAAAACCCCCTTAGCAAACTTTTGCAGTGGGGAAAAATAACACATTAAAAGAAAATATTCTTTACATCTTAAACCAATATTTTATATCTTATTTCTGCACCCAAACATTTCTCCACTCTGTTTTGAAACCGCGCGTAAGATTTTATAAATAAGCATGAAAAACATATTTATTAGGGTTTTATATATAAAAATAAAAAAAAATAAATAATATGACAAAAAAGGTAAGAATGAAAAAAGAGGAAAATAAAAAAAAAAGAAAAAAGAGAGGGAAAAAGGAAGGAAAATAAAAAAAAAGCAACGTTTTGTCAGTGGAATAAAATTTAAAAATTTAGACAGAGAATAAATTATTTCAACTGAGAATTAGAGGGGAAAAATATTTTTATGAGGGTTTGGGAAAGAAAAAAAAAGAATGTATAATGAGTAAAAAAAAAAATATAAGAATGAAAAAAAGAATGGAAAAAAATGAGGGTGGTAAAAGGAGAGGAAAAAAAAAAACAGCTAAGGAAACTTTTCATGCTCAAGTAGTTTACATTTTCTAGGGGGGTCAGTACGGGAAACAAGATCCACAGTCAAATTGTTAAGCAGAATATTATCATTAAGATTTAGGAGGAAAGCCAAGCTTCATTAATATTTGTTTTTGTTACATATTATAAAAGCGTAATACAAGACATTGCTAGAGCCATTATTAAAGATAATTATTATCTCCCCTTCACTTCACTCATTCGAATTTAAAATTTCAGTTTTATTACAGTAAAAATCTCTAAAAAACAGTCATATTTAACTTTTTGACTACAGTAAAAAGTTCTCACATAAAATCACATATCAACTCGAATCAACGAACTAAACGGACTCTTGCGAAGATTATTACATTCCGATTAACATAGTGTACTTTTTATGACGCTGTTCTTGAGACTGCACAGAGAGGGAGTTCACCATCAATGTGAAGGGTGAGCATGATTCTATAATTTGCCGGTTTTGAGTCATCGGCTAATTTAAAGCGGAAGAAGCGAAGGAGGGCAATTGATAGAATCTTCATCTGCCGGTATGCAAAGTCCTTCCCAAGACAGATCCGAGGGCCCGCCTGCAAAACCATTCCACACGGTGAAAAATCAAAATATTAGTTTGATTTCAAAAAATTATATTTTCATGTAAAAAAGAGGTGATAAAAACAATGATACATACGTGAAATGCTATGAACTTGAATGGTGATTCGGGTTGAAAAATTCCATCCTTGAGCCATCTTTCAGGTCGGAAATCTTGCGCATCTTCTCCCCAAATATAAGGCATTCTACCCATTGCATAGGACATGTAATATACTGCATCTCCTTTTTTGACTCTAAAGCCATCAGGAAGAGTATCATCTGCATCTGCAAATCTACCATCCTAAAAGAACACAAGAGACACCGCGCACTTTGATCTTAGCATTTTCGTATAAAATTTCAATGTCAGAGCCAAACAATTAAACAAATATTTGGAAAACTTCGAAGCTATATCTAATTGGACTAAATCACATAATCTTCAATCATAATAGCTATTAGCCGTATTCTGTAATTCCTTGTTCATGTTACAATAGGGATTCACCAAACTAACAACACTTAGTCCTATTGCAAAACTGAAATATGCGATACCTATTTGATTAACACATCATTTGAAGCGATAGTCTCTTCTAAGCCCTCCCTCTTTATCATATAGTGGTTTAGGACCATAAGTTTCCTTATGTGGCATTTCTAAAGACAGTGCTTAAAATATGAACAGTGGAAATTACTAAGAAATAGTCACAAGAATCAAGAGACGGACATAAGAAATTTACCACGGGGACTGCAGGGTATAGCCTCAAGGTCTCTGTCAATGATGCATGAAGATAATGCATTCGCTCAAGGACTTCATCACTTATAGCTGCTACGAAATCATCGATACTGGATTCGTTGTCTTTGGCTTTGTCACCGATGGCATCTCTTATTTCTTGTACAATCTTTTCCTGTACTAAGGGGTTCTTGCACAGCATATAGAAAAACCACGAGAGTGTAATTGCACTAGTATCTTTGCCAGCTGAGATAAAATTGAGAATAATATCTCTCAGATATTGATCATTCATTTGCTCAGGATTCTTCTCACTCTCCATTAGAAACCTTGAAAGTATGTCCTCCTTGTCATTCTACAGAAAGAATTAACTGAATGAAACTTTATACTAACGAAAGTTTTCACAACACAAGAAAATGTATCATGTGACAATGTGTGCAGAAAATGTGAACTCACGCAATCGTGTCGTTCTACTAATAGTTCCCTCTTTTTGCTGATAACTTGGTTCACAAACCGATCAATGACTTTTACATTCTTCTTCAAGGAGGCTTCAGAACCAATGTTGAAAATTTTCTTCAATTTCCAGAATGGATCCACGTAGCGCCAGGATATCAGAGCATTTGTCTCGTCAAAGGCCTTCATAAATTCAGTCCCTTCTTTAGTTGATCCCTCCAAGCAATTCAACTGTACCCCAAAACCAACTTTGAATATGGAATCCAAGGTAGATCTCATTAGCAAATCCTACAGAAAAGAAAATCTTATAAGATAAAAGTATTGAAAAGGTATATAGGCTATAGCTTGCCCTAAAAATTCGCTACAAAATGAAAAACTTTTATTTTTTTAGTCGCATCTTCTTACAAAACCTTTAATCATATATTTTTGTGTGACTAAATGGACTTTCAGTCACAAACTTCTGATTAATATACATGTAGTCACAACTCACAAATTTGTGTTGTGACAAACATTTTGCTACGGAATTTTAGTCGTGGAAACTTTTTTTTTTATGTTACTAAAATTTTTTTCAGTGACTAAAAATCTCGGGGCTAAAAGTTTTAGTCACACAAAAAGTTGTCACTAACTCCATAATAGCCACAACGTTGTGATTAAAGTGAAAATTAGTCATACAAAAATGTGACAAAATGCGAGCAAAGATTAGCCAAGCAAAGCTTATCAGACTTGGTTTGTTTCTTTCACCAGTCGTTTTGTAGCCCTAAAAAAGTATGTGACAAAAATAAAATTTACAAGGAAGAGTCGAAGAACAAAAAGAAAAAAAAAGTCTAGATGGTATAAAATATATAAATTTATACTCTACTTACTTGCATGTCGAAAACCCGACCCGAAGCCGAAATCCCGGAAACAGCTCTCACCAATCTGGAAGCGTTTCTTCTGAACACTTCACAGCTGAAATCTCTAACAACTCTGGTGGAAAACTCGAAGCTCGCGAGCTTCCTTTGCTGCCTCCAGGGTTCTCCGTTGACCGCAAATATCCCTTGGCCGAAGAAATCAATCATTATTTCTTGTTCATACTCACCTTTTGAGTAGTTACTGAAGTTGGTTTTGAGAATATGTTCTATGTTACGCGGTTCAGTCGTGTAAATCTCGCTGTGTTGAGGAACGAGCATTCGGAAGGTCGGACACACGGTGGCGAAATGGATGTAGTAGTCGTAGAGCTTGTTGAAGTGGAAGAGTTGATGGAAAATAGTGCCTTTCACAGGAGGGTATGAAGGGTCATTGATGGACTTGCCTATGAAAATACTGATGATGAGATAACAGAAGCTTAAAACAAGGAAAAGTAATGAAATAAAGATGAGGGTGAAGATGGTGTAAAGGAAATCCATCTTTGTTTAAAGCTGATAAGGCCTTGCTGAGGATTGAAGTTCCTATGCAGTTTGCATGGCAGCTATTTAACTATTTATTTATGCTCTTTCTCTGTTTTTTTTTTTAATTTTTTTATTTGTATAAATATATAATATTATATATACTGCCCGTTTTACGTTGCATTATGATAAGATGCATTATCAATTCATGGTATGGCCACACTTTTTTGTCGATTGAAAAGCGACAATTGTGCCTGTTAGCAGATAGGCAATGAGTGGGCCATACCTGATGGCTAAAAGCCAAGGCCTCTGCATTTGAAAGTACGACCTCAAGCAACTGATCCGGGCAAAATCGCAAGAAATATCTTCTCCGACTTTGGGAAATTTTTTTTTTTTGGCTAAAAAACTGTCCGACTTTGGGATATTGGATGTTCAGGGATTCCGATAAGAGAATTCTTTGGTGAATATGAGATTCGGATAAGTTAGGACGTGTAAGTCACCGGCTCTTTGTACCATTCGATTTTTACATGGTGAACATTTTCTTGCTTCTATCTGATTATAGCGTAGATTAATAGTCGAATCACGTTGAATTTTTATGTATTTTTTATGATTATTTTAGAACATTTAAAGAACGTTTAGTTGATGAATTTAGAATCATGATTTAAAATTATTTTTAATTTATGTGTATTTTTTATGAGAAAAAATACTGTAACGAGTTACGAATTATAATTCGACACATCAACATTCTAAAAATTTGAGATGTATGGTGTTGCATAAATTTTAGTTGTTAGCTTATGTAAAGAAACAATTTCAGCTGTAGAAAAAAAAGTTTAATTTTAAAATTTTGACGACTTAGATTCTAGCCAAAAAGAAAAAAGAAACAATTTCGATGACTTGATTTTTTTTATTATATCATCTAATGACTCAAATTAGGCTACAAAGTACATCTAAGAAAGGATATACGGTAGTTTCTTCCTAAAGATTGATCAGATACGGAAGAAGAGAATATATGCGCAAATAAATACTGATCAAGATTGAGAGTTTTTTGCCTAATTTTTCCTTGATTAGTATGATTAAGCAGTAGTCGCCATGAAACTTATGCTAACTCTCTAATCCCTTAAGTCTGACCAAAAATCAGATTTATTGGTAACATGAGCCACATTACAACGGTTCGGTAGTAAGTTAATTAGGTAAATTGTGAAAATTAAAAATCCAAGCCGTAGGTTACCAATGCCCGAAATATTTAAGGAATAAAAATACCAAATTTTTTTTGAAATATTGAAAAAGTTAAAAATGAGTTTTGCAGAAGGAAGAGGGTAAGGAACAAGAAAGGTTGAGAGAAAGATTGGAAAATGTGCCCTGTCCACACAATGTTTCATTCAACAGAAAACAGCTTATATACAGAAGAAGCCACCAGCTTTTACACGTGGAAGAAATCAATGGTCTAACTGTACAAAATGGAGAGAATAACAAACTAAAAAACCTTAGAAAATGATTGACCGTTTCTATAAATAGTTATTTTTCCAATTTAACAAAACTTGGATCATTTACTAAAAAAACCTTAGAAAAAAGCTTTCTTGCATATATCCCTTAATTGCATTACAGTAATACAGTTTTGGCTTCTTTTGCTCTCATATTAGTACATAATGCAAACTTGATGCGGTGCATAAGGATCACGTTTTTATGGCGCATTAGGAACATCCCAAAATTAAGACAAATTCTTTTAGCGATGTTATATTTGGATAAAAAAATGTGTTTTCGGGTGGAAACGGCTCAATGGACAAAACTAGTAGCTTTGTGACCACATGAGATGTTTTTTGAGTAAATTCTATCGTTTAGGCTTTCAAAAGGATGTTTTTCTATTTTTAGTAATTTTTCTTTTGTAATAAATTGACCTAAGAAATTTGGATTCCAATTTCAAATTTTTTGATTGCGTTTCCCTTTTCTTTGTGTTTGGTCGTTCAATTTCTTGTTTTCAGCTCAAAATTTTCTTTTCTTTTTGTTGAAAATTTCATATTTTTTATTATTTTATTTTAAAATAGGCTAGTTTTCAATTTCTGTTTTACCTATATAGACCCTGTTGTAATGAAGACTACTTCAGTTAAATAAAATTTTGAGTTCTCTCTCAATTTTTTTTTTCTAAATTCCTATTAATTGTATGAATTAACGGTTTTTCTAGTATTCATCCACAAACTAACTGATCTATCCCCCTTTTATTGTTATTTTCTAATTTTCTCTAATTAAGCTTCCGCTACATCAAAACGCAACAGAAGTTGACTTCTGGACTAGAATATGACCCCTGTTCAGCTCAGCTCAGAGTCGTACAATGTTTATCTATGAATGAAAAACAACATATTGTCAGCAGTAGTGGTAACAACAACACCAACTTGTGCACCATAAATAATAAAACGTAAACAATAATAAAAACTTCATGAAAGCATTTGATTTACGATGACAGTTACTTGTAAATAACATTAATTGTGTTTCGTTAATCGATTAATCGTGTTTAATTAGGGTAAAATGAAATTAAGATGCTCATACTCTTGTCAACATTGCACGGACTTCACTTGGAAAAGACTGCACCGCAGCTTATCAAAACCCATCTTGTAATAAAAATAAAACCGAACCCCATATTCTTTAAATATAAAAATAATCATATACTCATGAGGACATTAGGCCATCTAATTTAAAGAGTTGAGGTTTTAAGATAAAACCACAAGTGTTTAAAAATTTTATTAGTATCTATTATGTTATTAGAGTTCAACAAGTTCAAACGAATAACCCATTGCATCTAATAGAATAAATAACTCTGAAAAGAGCACCATTACCTTATAAAGACATTGGGAAGTCCCAACTACCTTGCTTGTATAGATACACAAGCAAATAGTTAAGCACAAAAGCAATATACACTTCAAATATCATTTAAGATTTAGGAGGGGAAGAAGCTTTATTTATATTTTTCTTTTGTTACATATTGTAAAAGCACAATACAATACAACGCTAGAATCATTGTTAATTTTAATCTAAGTGAACATTTATTACATTCTGGCTCACATGTTGGACTTCTTTTATGCGGCTGTCCTTAAAACTGCACAGAGAGTGAGGTTACCATCAATGTGAAGGGTGAACATGGTTCTATAATTTACAGGTTTTGTGTCATCAGCTAATTTGAAGCGGAAGAAGCAAAGAAGGGCGATTGATAGAATCTTCATCTGCCGGTAAGCAAATTCCTTCCCAAGACAGATCCGAGGGCCCGCCTGCAAAATCATACGACAAGGTGAAAAATGAAAATAATATTGGTTTGATTTCTATATTACAGTTTCATGTAGAGAAAATGTGATAAAACAATGATACATACATGAAAATGCTACGAACTTGAATGGCGATTCGGGTTCAATTTCCATCCTTGATCCATCTTTCAGGTCGGAAATCTTGGGCATCTTCTTCCTAAATATAAGGATTCTGCCCATTGCATAGGCCATGTACTATACTCCATCTCCTTGCTTGACTTTAAAGCCGTCGGGGAGAATATCATCCCTATCTGCACGTCTCCCATCCTAAAACAACACAAGAGACAACATGTTAGTAGTTCTAAATAATATTTATAGTAAACAGAATATTCACATGATTCATTCACGAAGTATATTACTATATTTACAGTAAATTTTAACTTTTTAAATTGTTATTTACCATAGATATTTTTAAATATGTTATTTCCGTTTGTTTAATACATGATTTGGAGCGCCAGTTTCTGCAGAGCCTTCACTCTGTTTATCATGATGTAGTTTAGGACCTGAAGTTTCTTTATGGTGCATTTCTAAAGATAATGCTTATTTGGCCTACAGATTTTACCACGGGGACTGCAGGGTATAGCCTCAAGGTTTCTGTCAATGCTGCATGAAGATAATGCATTCGATCGAGAGTTGCATCACTTATAGCCGCTACAAAATCAACGATATTAGATTTGTTGTCTTTCGCTTTATCACCAATGACATCTCTCACTCCTTGTGCAATCTTAAAAAATTTCAGGACCCTTAAAAATCTGAGAAATTTCAAGCCTCGTCTCTACTATAGTATTTAGGCAAGACACATGGTGTTTTCGGAATTACCGCTAAGACGATATTAATGATTAATTGCGTAGAATATTAGGTGGAAAACAAAAAACCGAAGGTCGGCCAGCTTATTCTCTTTGTAATGGTTGGTTTGTGTATTCAGAATCATGATTCATAACCATTTTCGTTTTACGTGCTGTACAGAACCATAAATCATGATTCAGAATCAGTGACGAATATAGAAAACAAACGCTTACGTCCTTGGTATGATTTAGCTTATACGTTGTTGTTTATCATAATCTGGTTGATATTGTAATGAGAAAGGACAAAAAAAAAGAAGTTCCGATCCTTAAACAGTTTGATTGTTTTAAGCTAATTAATATCATATAATATACACAAATATATATGTCTGAGATTAGATAGACAATTTAAGTTATATATTTTTCATTTTTAAGATACACATATGTCTACGATTCTATACCAAAGGAGGAAAAGAAAAGACACATCAAATGTCACATGTCTACTTATCCATCTTTTTTACAGATATAAAAATAGATTAATTACTAAAATTTTCCTTGAATTATACTTCTTATGACATTTTGCTTCTCAATCTTTAACAAGTAACATCTGTTCTCCATAAATAATGAAGCGTTAAAAAAATTTCCTTTCCGTTAAGAGATCTAACTGTTTTTACACTTATCGTATTAATAATTGATTTTGTTAAATAATCTTGAGCATAATTACTATTTTACCCACATACCTTAATTTTTTATTCTAATTTATATCTGTCATGGTAAAATAAATAATAAAATAAATCTTTTAACTCCTTAATGAGTCGGCAAATCTCCCACTTCACAATTATAGTTCTTTTTTTTAAAAGGGTTATGATGGGTCTTGGGCATTAGGAATGGCATGAGTGTGGTCAACAGGAGGTGCAGCGGTGCGACGTCGGCGCGGCGTGGTGACTGCTTGAGGGTGGCCGAATTAGAGATAGGAGAGAAACAACCTGCTCTGATACCATATAGAAGAAATAAGATTGGAAAAATACGGCACACCTTTTCCATTGATGATGAAGAGTATAAATAGAGTTTAGAAATCTCATCATAATCTAAACAAACAAATCTTATCTTAATCTAAAATAATTTAAACTTGAAACAGACGCAAAATCCTAGGAAGATAAACACAACTAACAATATCCTAACAAGATAATCATAGCATTTGAATTTTAATCCTAGTGAGCTGAAATTGAAAACTTAATTTAAATTATGATTATCTCTAACATTTGACTCTAATTCTTAATTTTACTTTTAAATTTGAGCTAGCTAAGTTTAGATGTTCATATATCGGTCTATATTTGATATTTTTGCACCATGGGTTGATGGTTTGATTTTCCATTCCCAATTGCTTGAGATCCCTCCTTTTCTGTTGTCAATGCACTGGGGATCTTGGGAGCATTCCAATCACATTTATCCAGGTTTAAGGCCTTGAAACGTCTGAAAGTATTACCGACCTCCTTATCACTTTCTGGATTTTTGAATTTCTGCTTGAAATACTCAAATGAACCATTTCAAGAGCAAAATTTCCATTTCAACAAGCTTATCCTCTAATACTGACACACACTAAAAATGAGTGTTAGTCAAAACAAATTTTCTGTCACTTATAGAAGTACGTATGATTTTCTTCGACTCAAAATACATGCACTTTTCATTGACTAAAAGTACATACAATTTTCTTTGACTAAAACCGACTCATCAAACCCCTTGATCGCTTTTCTTTGTAACCGAGAGATCCTACCCAACGTTAACGAAGGGCTCACATTAACACCCAAAGTAATCATGATTTTCTTGCAGGCAAAGTGGTCCCGTTTTTTCTCCCATTAAAAATGAGAGATTCTCTGTATAAACGGTTTCTTATTGGCCAACCTAGGAAAGCAACCAATAAATAATATATTAATTTGATTGAATTTTTCTTTTATCTATCTTGCCTATATGTGGAGGCTGTAGTTGCTACACTTTCTTTTTTCGCTTGTTTTTTTTTTTATGATATATATCTATATATGTATACATTTAATATAGTTATAATACATTGTTCATTCACAACTCTATTACAAATTTACAAGTGTTCTTCAACACTAATTATAACTCCATATAATTGCCAACTTCTTTATATTTCTGAAGCAATTTTTTTTCTTTTTTTGGCTGAAGCTAATGCAAACTATTACAGTTACAACTTTGAATCTATGAACCTAAACATATTAGGAAAAAAATAAGAAGAAAACGATGCAAACTAGTATATATGCTTAGAGGTGTTGAACAATTAGTGAACAAGAAATATAAATTATACTGTCAATTAAAACGATGTATAACATAACAAAACTAACACTACAAGTAAAAAGGTCATTTGCGGCGACTCGTTGTCGTCGCAAATAGGTGTTATGTTGTCGCAAATAAAGCATTTTTGATGACATGTCGTCGCAAATTAGTCGCCACAAAAAATTAGTCGCAAATAATCTATTTGTGACGACACAATTTTGAGTTGTCGTCACAAAAACATTTGCGACGACAGTCGTCGTGAATAAGTCGTCATGAATGTTCCGTCGAATATGTCGTTGATGATGACGTGTCATAGATTATTTGCGACGACAAAATGTCGTTGCAAATGGACTTGAAACCTTTTGCGACTACATTGTCGTTGCTAGTTATGTGTAGTATTTGCGACGACATCGTAGAAATGTCGTCGCAAATAGTTCTTTTTTTTTGTATGATCCTAATAATATAATTAATATAAAATAGTGAACACAACAATAAACTAAGTCTTAAGAGGTAAATTAATTAAGAAATACTAAAAAGTATTGATAATAAAAAAAATAAAAACAAATATTTTAATCTCTTAAATTAGCAGCATCGTCGTCCTCATTCTCGTCTTCGTGTTCTTCAAAATTGACCGGGAAAAACTTTATAGAAATTTGATGGGTGAAGGTTTCATTTTTAATTTTTTTTTCTCTCTATCTGAAATTCATAATACATTTTTTTATTTGAAATTTTAATTTTTGATTTTCTAGTTTAACCTGCTATAGTTCTGTCTGTTGTCGTTGGCAGTCAAGATTTGCCTTTTCTATGACTGGGCTTTGAGTTTTATTTGGGGGGTTTATTCCTAATTGACTAAGACATTTTCATGACTGCATATAATACCTTGTCTTTTATTTTCAAATCCTGGACAATATTTGCACTTTGAACAAGGATTTTCTAATCTTCCTTTGTTAAATTATATTTTATGTTCTAAACCTTCGCATTCTTTAATTACTACAGGAGAATAGCTTGTGTGTTGACTATAGTTATACATTAAGTTTACTTATTTAGTTCAAAAGATCGTTTGGGTCTTCTATTTCATTATTACTATCATCTTCGAATTCAAAATTAATATCTTCCGAATAAATACTACAAATTTCGGAGTTTGAATCTGAAGTGTCTTCTATAAGTAAATAAATTCATTTTGGATTACTTCTTCTATCATTTTGATTGATTCGTTTTTCCAATGGAAGAAACAATTAAGGGTATTTACTATTTATTATATGATGATAGTACTGTTTATCCTTTGGGTAGACCCATTTTTTATGAAATTGCCAGAAGTGGTCTAGCAATATAGTCTGAGTAACTAATAATTGGCTTCCCAGAATAAGTCCTAGAATTAATTTAAATTGTGTATAGATCGCAAATTTTCTTAACTATGTTACTATTTTCAAATTTTCAAAAGAAAAATATATAATAACTTAATGGTAGCCAATATTAAGATGTCAATTTTCTTATTAATCAAAATCAAAATTAACAAAATGTTCCTTCATCAAGGACACTACCCCACATAATTTTCAAAAGGTTAAATTTAATTTTTAGACACTTTTATTATTTCAAAATTTCTTCAAACTATTTCTATAAGACTATTAATTCTTGACCAATTCACACCCACTGTTTTATTTTGATTGGTTACTTTAATATTATCACATCTCTCTTAGTCATTTAAAAATTATATGTGAAGGTGTAATATTAGAAATATCCTACAAAAACATGTCCTTTTAGTCACAACAATGCTGTGACTAAAAGTAGCTCATGAAATTATAAAAAAAGAAAAAAAAAACAGCACAAGAAAATTATTGTGATCAAAAGTACACTTTTTTGTAGTGTCTTCAGTATATTAGAATCAGTGGAGAGGTTGGAAAGGAAATTTTCGCTGAAATGGCTTCGTTTGAGAATTTTAAGCCGAACATACACCTTCAAACAAATGAGAGAGTTTCGATTGGACTATATGAACGATACATCACTCGTGAACCAAAAGATTTTCAGGATTTACTTGCTTCTCTGAAGCCTTACCTTGATTCATTTGAGGAGCCTTCTGAAAATCCCGTTGAAGCGTCTAAGTCAAATCAAATAAAAATGAAGACGCCTCTGACTCAGATTCTGAAAACAATGTTGACTTGTCCAGCTCAGATTCTGCAAACGACGGAGCCGATGATGAGTCCGACTCAGATTCCGGTAACGAATGGGACGGTGATAATGAGAACGACGAAGCTGATGAGCAGCCCGGCTCAGACTCTGAGAATGATAAAGGTGAAGACCCGTCCGACCGCAATTCAGATTCTGAGAATGATGATGAGGAGGAGGAAGAGGAGGCGGAGGAGGAGGAGGAAGAGGAGGAGGAGGTCAACATTTCAAGTATTGAGGATAATGGGGAGGAGACTGACGAAAATGGAGAGGATGAGGAGGAGGAGGACAACATTTCAAGTACTGAGGATAATGGGGAGGAGACTGACGAAAATGAGGAGAACGAGGAGGAAGACGGAAATGGAGAGGATGACGGCCAAAACGAGGAGGATGGTGAAAATGAGGCCAACATACGTGAAATTTTTCAATTCCTTGCTCAGCAGGTAATCTTTGACTTTAATATATTTATGTATGTATGTATTATACACATGGCAGTGTAAAACTATTGGTTAGTCTCTGTTTGATTCATGTTTCGCTTTTATAGCAATTAATCTGTGGTATGCAGACACTTTCTGGGAGTTAATTTAAGTTATTAGTCTAAGTTAGAACGAGAATTTACTAGATAAAATACCGAGTCTCATCATTCATCATCGAGTCTTCACCTTCATCATTCCCAGAGTCTGATCCGGGCTGCTCATCAGCTTCATCGTTCTCATTATCACCGTCCCATTCGTTACCGGAATCTGAGTCGAACACATCATCGGCTCCGTCATTCCCAGAATCTGAGCTGGGCAAGTCAACATTATTTTCAGAATCTGAGTCAGAAGCGTCTTCATTTTCAATTTGATTTGACATAGACGCTTCAACAGGATTTTCAGAAGGCTCCTCAAATGAATCAAGGTAAGGCTTCAGAAAAGCAAATAAATCCTGAAAATCTTTTAGTTCACGAGTGATGTATCGTTCATATAGTCCAACTGAAACTCTCTCATTTGTTTGAAGGTGTGTGTTCGGCTTAAAATTCTCAAACAAAGCCATTTCAGCGACAATTTCCTTTCCAACCTCTCCACTGATTCTAATATACTGGAGACACTACAAAAAAGTGTACTTCTGATCACAATAATTTTCTTGTGTTGTTTTTTTTTCTTTTTTTTATAATTTCATGAGCTACTTTTAGTCACAGTAAGGACATGTTTTTGTAGGATATTTTCAATATTACACCTTCACATAATTTTCAAATGACTAAGATAGATGTGATAATATTAAAATAACCAATCAAAATAAAACAGTGGGTGTGAATTGGTCGAGAATTAATAGTCTTATAGAAATAGTCAGAAGAAATTTTGAAATAATAAAAGTGTCTAAAAATTAAATTTAGCATTTTGAAAATTATGTAGGGTAGTATCATTGAAGAAGGAACATTTTATTAATTTTGATTTTGATTAATAAGAACCTTGACATCTTAATATTGGCTACCATTGTAATGACCGGAAAAAATTTAGGTTTAATCCGGACAGTACGGTATTTGACTGAAATCCTTTCCGGAATAGTAAGTAGTAGAATTTCGATGTAATCAAGAAAATGTTATGTAAAAACTTTATGTACGGGGTAAAATTTTTCGAAATATGTAAAGTTATAATACGAATATTTTAACGAAGAAAATTTGTAAATATCAGTTATGAATAGTGAAATATCGGCTAAAAGTTAGAAATTTTAACGGGTATATTTTGGTTATGAAAAACTGAAATGTTTGGTTTGTGACCAAATGATCAGTTAGAAAAATAGTAGAAATATTAGAAGTAAGGAAAATAGTAAAAGTTCCTGAAACAAAATTTTCCCAAGCTAGTTAAAGTGGGAAACTGCTAAAAAAACCAATGCCGCGAGGGTAAGGTTTTGGGCAATTCTGGATCGATTAAAATGAAAATTTCAGAAAGAGAAATTGATTAATGAGATACCCAAGAACATGAGAAGTTTGACCCAGGGTACTCGACAGTCCAGAAAAATAGTATAGAACCTGTACTGATTGTGAAATTATTAGTACCGGAAAGAGACTTGTTTTGAGAAACGGAAAGTTGGGTCTCGATAAGAAAAAGATGTTACGGTCATTGTCTTAGTAAAGAACAATATACTGTAATCAGTTAAGATAAGTTTCGGGGAATAGTTTCATATCCGATTTCTTAAAGTATGAGCAAGGATAAGTTGTTGTATAACAAAAGAACATGCTAGGAACATATTAAGAACCCGAGGGTTAAAGAAAAAAAATTTACTGGTATAAAAACGTAAATTAAAGAGACAATAGTCTAATAACAAGTAATAGATTAGACTATAACTCAGCATGTTAGTAGTAGTTTAAGGTTGGCGACCCGCCGTTAGGAAGGGAGGCGTCACAACCATTAAGTTATTATATATTTTTTATTACAAGATAGTTAAGTTGTCTAAGTAAGATTAAATACATAACAACATTAACAATAAAAGTAAATTAGTAGATTCAATTGTATTAAAATGTTGGAAATAAAATTCAAGTGATTTTAATTCCTATTAAACAAGTTATATATGTAACCTAATATGTACAAGTTATATAGGTAATCTAATATATAAGTCATTTAATATACACACAAATATATATAAGTCTGAGATTACGTAGACAATTTAAGTTATATATTTTTCATTTTTAAAATACACATATGTATATCATTTTATACCAAAGGAGGAAAAAGAAAAGACACATCATCAACCCATGGTGCAAAAATATCAAATATAGACCAATATATGAACATCCAAACTTAGCTAGCTCAAATTTAAAAGTAAAATTAAGAATTAGAGTCAAATGTTAGAGATAATCATAATTTAAATTAAGTTTTTAATTTCAGCTCACTAGGATTTAAATTCAAATGCTTTGATTATCTTGTTAGGATATTGTTTGTTGTGTTTATCTTCTTAGGATTTTGCGTCTGTTTCAAGTTTAATTTCTAAACTCTATTTATACTCTTCATCATCAATGGAAAAAGTGTGCCATATTTTTCCGATCTTATTTCTTCTATATGGTATCAGAGCAGGTTATTTCTCTCCTATCTCTAATTCGGCCACCCTTAAGCAGTCACCACACCGCGCCGACGTCGCACCGCTGCGCCTCCTGGTGACCACACTCATGCCACAATTCCTAATGCCCAAGACCCATCAAAACCCTTTTAGAAAAAGAAACTATAATTGTGAAGTGGGGATTTGCCGAGTCATTATGTTGTTAAAATATTTATTTATTATTTATTTTACTATAACACATATAAATTAGAATAAAAATTAAAGTATGTGGGTAAAATAATAATTGTGTTCAAGATTATTTAACAAAATCTATTATTAATGCGATGAGTGTAAAAACTATTAGATCTCTTGACGGAAAGGAAATTTTGTTAACGCTTGTAACAATTTTTCCAAAACCTAAAATTAATAGAGTTATGGGTGGAAAAAGAAATTTCCAAAATTTCCAAAATTCAAAGAATAAGACCCTAAAATGGATCTCAATTTCTTTCATTTTCTTACTCCATTTAGTTCATAGGTATAGGTTTGAATATAAAATTTGGAAAAAAAAGAAAAAAAAAAAGAAACCAATGCCATCACCAAAACTGTTCCAAAAGAAACAAACTCAAACGTCCACATTTTCCATAATACTAACTGGTTTTTATCGATTTGAGAATGTCCCTACATCCTATAAACCTTCACGTGTTCTATTTAATACAAATGAAATCCATATGTCCAACACCGAAAAAGCTCCAAAAGCATATTTATCTACGCTAAAATTTTTCATCTCATCGGCAAAAGAAAATTTAGAAAACCTCCAAAAGAAAAACTCACCGGAGCAAAAAAAGCTAAAAAATTTTGTCACCGGCAAAACAAAATCCAAAATTGACTCTATTTTCACAATCACTTGAAGAAACACTTGCAACATTTGGTTCGCCGGTTTAAAACCATTATTCAATTTTTAAAATTTAAATTTTTTATGAAAGAAGATTATATTTTATTATCAATTCAATTACCATAAAAAATTAACAACATGATTCAAAACTAAAGACCAGCTCTTAAAACAAAGATCCCATAAATATCCGGTCTCTGAGAAACCAAATAGAACAAAACTCACCGGGATAACAAAAGCCAGAATCCTGCCGGAGCTTTCCTTGGCAGCGAGAAGAACGTCCCTACCGGCGAGCGCGTGAGGCAAAGACGCCGTCTGGATCTCCGTCATCTTCAAGTACTTGGACTGTCGGAGGCCCTTCATGGTCCTCCGCGAGAGGGGGAGCTGGCTGAACATTCTGGCACCGGAGAAACGAGAGAACGACGCTGCACCGCCGTCGAGGAGGCAGCCAACGGGAGCATCGGAGGGCAGGGGAGGGAGCGACAGAGGGTTAGAGCCGCGGTCGGGTTTTTGGGCATTTATCCATGAGTTGAGAAGCTCGATCTCGTAGTCTTCCGATGGACGGCTCTGCTTGCGGACGGGCGTTGATTTTGGCTTTCTCATGCTTGAGATTTGGGGATACGAAGGAGGAAGATGATGATGGTTGTTAGGGTTTCGTCTGAGGAGTGAGGAGTCGGGGGATGAATTTTAACAGTATGATTTATGATTGCCACGTTAAACGTACCACAAATTATTCTTACGGTTTTACCCTCACTTTCATTTTTGTGTCTTGACTTTTAAAATATTTCATATGTAGTCCTTAATCTGTTTTGGTATCAGTTAGACAGTTACTCCATAGTCTTTAGTTGTTTAATATTTGATAGACTTATTTAAAAATTAGAAACTAAATTGAAAACATTTTAGATACAACACCAAAAATAAAAATACTTTTACAAAAAAAAAAAAGAATAATTTTGTTTCTTTAATCTTTCTAATAAAGATATTCACCGATAAACCAACCTCCAAAGTTATGGTCATATATAGTATAAATTTATTATAGAAGAAAAGTTATATTGGATTAACTGAAGCTGATAATAATTTTTTTTTTTTTTGATAAATCAAGACTCATAATACCATTTTGCATATAGTACAATTTTTTTTTTCATATTTAGTATAATATATACATTTCTTTTCTTTTTGTCAACAATCTTTTAGGTCCAGCTAACTGACAAATCAAGTCTTTAAATTTCTTTAATTACTTTTTAAGCAATATGGCAGAAAGGTGCACTTATTACATACCAGAACTAATCAAATAAATAAAATTTTCAAAATACAAAGAATTAAAACCTAAAAGTAATCAAATATTCAAGCCTGTGGACCTATAAGTTTGCATTAAACAAAAACTTATATCAGAAAACTATATTCTCTACAAAAACTTCACACACCCCCGCGCACACAATGATGATAATTGAAAAGCACATTATTTCCACCCATAAACTTCCTAAGCGTGAAAATAAGATGTAAGCTCAGCGTTGGTGCAGTCTAAATTTGAGTTCCATGTGGAAGTTGAAAAATCTTGACAATGCAAGGAGCATGAACAAGGGAATGCGAGAGCTCCAATGAGAAATTTTAGCTGAATTATACTCAATGTTTTAACTTAATTAGTCCTGAATTTTTAATTTAGACATTTAGTTTCTCAACTTTAAGACAATTTTGATCCTTGAAGTAAAACTGACTAAACAATTTCTAAAATTTAACAAAGATAAACATATATTCATCCTGTCATGTAATAATTTAAAATTTTACTGAAATAGTTATTAAAACCTATTGAAAATTATAAATATATTGTACATACTGTAAATATTTATGTAAAATTTTCTATTAGTATGCAATAATAATATAATTTCTACACTAAATTTTAGAAATGATTAAGGTGCGTTAAAAGAATCATTAGATTTGAATTAAATGGTCAAAAAAATGAAAGAACACCAAACTAAAATAAGACCTCTCTCACGTGATTCAACACCAAATTACAATATTCATTCTAAAAAAATTGTTCCCTATTGTCGCCTTCCACCACTCATCGCGGACGAACTCCTCCACCTCCGGCGAGCTCCTCCTCCACCTCTGGCAAGCTCCTCCTTCGATTCCCCTCTCCATCCATGGCATGATGAATGGCTGATTTTCTCATCCCCCGTGAGAAGCTATGCTCAGTCAAAATGAAAAAAAACAAAAAAAACAAAACAAAAAAAAAAAACATACACTTTCAAGCAAACGTATTTTAGAAATCTGTTTGACAAGAACATACAAAAGGGTTCATGTCGCCATGGAGAGACGGTCGTCGCGCTACCATGGGCTGTGGTGAAATCGTCCGACGGGAGAGAGAGGAGATCTTGCCATCGAGCAGGAGAGAGACGGTCGTCGCAAGTTCGTTGTCAGGGATGAGGCCTTGCACTGCTGCCGGCAGGGAGTCCTCTCTTTTCTCTTGGAGAGTTTCTCAACGACAAAACATTCAAAAATCAAAACGAGTTCCAAGACCACAATAAACGTTTGGGCCAATGTATCTATTTATTGTTTAGCTCTTCAATTTTAATAATTTTTTTTGTTATATATACATCATAGTGAAATAATTTAGGTTATGATCTACTAGTATATCACCAGCTTCGTATATGTGTACATAAAAGATGGTTATATTTGTGTGAGCATATTACGTGAAAACGTATAAAGAAAAAAAAAGAATATTATAAAATTACTAGATTGCTCACTATTTAAGGTTAAATTACGAGATTGTTATAGTTTTCCATCTAAATTTTAATGGAATTTTAAGTGAGAACTAAACTTGACATAAAGAACGGAATTTTAAGTGGGAATTAAACTTGACATAAAGGCCCCGTTCATTTCACCGATTCGAATTTAAAATTTGAGTTTTACTCAGTAAAAAATTCTCACATAAAGTCACATCTCAACTCAAATTAAAAACTCAAATCAACAAACTAAACAGGCCAAAGAGTTTAGGGTTTAAGATAAAACAATTTTCACTAAATCTAGAAAGAGGAGAAGTGGGACCTCTCATAAATTTAACAGTTTATAACTCAAAACTAAATAAATATTCTAATATTAATGGAGTGTGATATACTCTGGATCATTCAAGATCAGTCTTTCAAGGTGTTGAACCGATTTTTTTCTAGTCGGAAGTTTTTCGGAAGAGCAAGGTTTGTCTTTTCTCAGGAAGCTGTGAAACGACTGCATTGAGGATGCTCCCAAATTTCGGTTTAGGAAGAGAATCCACATCATCAAGGACCAAAACCTGTTCCCCAGCAAAGGAATTTAACCAGAATTAGCAACATAATTGGTGGATAACTTTTACTTCTGCCTGCAAAACATATTCTTTTCTAAATTGCATAATTGAAGAATCATACAATCAGTTGCAAGATTTTCTGTTCGGAAACCGAAGAAAACAAAATTTCAAGCAAAAAAAGAACCTAACAAAGACCTGAAGGAGTGCAGACCAATATGTTAATGTCATTCCCGTGATCTTTCTCCTCCAAGTCTACAGAATTCCCACCCCCAGTGAGAAGACCAATACTAAAACTATGGTGCCTTGCCACTGATTTAAATACTTCAAAAGTTTGACACGCTAACTCCCGTGTGGGACATAGAATGATGCTTCCAACTCCACGCCCAGGGGTATATCTCTCTCGAAACAATTTTTCCAAAACCTGAAATCAAACAAATAAGGCTAATTTATTATGAACTAAAAAGAGGCTAATAGAAGAAGAATTAATCAAACTAATAAATTTCTTAAATTCAAAGAATAAAAAAACCTAAAAGGACTCCCAAGTATCTTTCCTTTTCTTGCTCCGCAAACTCACAAAGATTCAACCCCCCCCCCCCCCCCCCCCCCCCCCCCCAAAAAAAAAGAAGGAAAAAAAAAAAGTCATCACCAAAACTGCTCCAAAACCAATAAACTCAACGTACACATTTTCCATAATACTAACTAGCTTTCGCCGATTTGAGATTGTTCATGGAACAGGGGAGCTTTAAGGAGAAATTAGTACTACAACTGCTGCTGAGGACTCCTCTACCTCTTTGCATCACACAAGAACAATTATATAATTCATTCCCAAGATAAAAAAAAAGTCATCAAATATAACAAAGTAAACCCTATTAATATCTGGAATTCAGGCACTAAAACCTTCAACAGAATCCCCATTTGTTCTATCTAATACAAATGAAATCCAAATACTCATCATAAAAAAAGCTCTAAAAGCATTATCTTCGTAAAAACGAAAAAAAAAAACAAAAAACAAAAACAAAACAAAACAAAAAAAAACAAAAAACAAAAACAAAAGTAAATTTTTCATCTCACCGGAGCAAAAAGAGCTAAAAACTTCATCTCAACGGCAAAACAAAATCCGAAATTGACTTTATTTTCATAATAAACAGCAATATCCAGAATCAAACTCACCGGAACAACAAAAGCAAGAGTCTTTCCAGAGCGTTTCTTGGCGCCGACAACAACGTCCCTACCGGCAAGCGCGTGGGGCAAAGACGCCGTCTGAATCTCTGTCATCTTAAGGTACTTGGACTGTCGGAGACCCTTCTGGGTCTTCCGCGAGAGGGGCAGATGGCTGAAAATTATGGCGCCGGAGAAGCGCGAAAATGACGCCTTATCGCCGTCGAAGAGGCGGCCGATGGGGGCGCCGGGGGGCAGGGGAGGAAGCGACAGGGGGTTGAAGCCGGATTACGGTTTCTGGGCGCTGATCCATGAGTTGAGAAGCTCGATCTCGCTGTCCTCCGATTGGCGGCTCTGCTTGCGAACGACCGTCGATTTGGGTTTCCTCATGCTTGAGATTTATGAATACGAAGGTGGAAGATGATGGATGGTAGGGTTTTGCCTGACCCTGAGGGGTCGAGGATTTTGGGAAGCCATTGAAATTAGGGATTCGAGGAAAATGACTTAAATATTGGGGTAAATTGTACCGTTACCGTTGAACCTAAACTATTCATTTTTTGAATAATGCCATCAGAACTTTTAATTTAACAAAATGCACCTTAAATTTTAGAATTTGTTATAATTGAGATTTAATAGTTATTAAATGTTATTAAATTGACGATTTAAATATTAAATTAGCACATAAAAGATAAATATCGTCATTTTTTAAGTCATGTCTCATGTAAATTTTATGTTTGCAATTGTTAATTTAATAACGTCATTAATGTACTTCAATTGTAATTGTTTAAAGTTTTGGGTTCGATTTGCCAAAATAAAAATTTGAGTTCAATTATAAAAAATATATAATTTAAGATGCATTTACTCTAAATATTGAGGACCTAATTTAAGTATGTATTATTTTTTTACATGATAAATTAGGTAAATGGTGATCTATTAGCATATCTCATTCCCTCTTTTTTTCTTTTTTTTTTCTTTTTTTGAACAGGGCCTATGGCCCTTTGCACATTTTGCACTTGGATCTCACATTTTGCCTATGGCGTAAGGCCCTTTCAAAAGTTTTCTTAGGAATTTAGTGAGGATTCCTGTGTGGGCAAATATGTGTGCATATCCACATATATTAATATATAAAAATTGAAGAATTTGGTTAGTCCTTTTACAGAACTCTAACGCAAAAAACAAATAGCAAGCGTTAATGATCAAATGAAATTAAATGTGTAAAAGAAATATTTAAGAAAAATTGTTTAAAGTAAACTATTTAATGTAAGGGTTTTAGGTAGAGTAATTATGATGATTTAAAATAAATAATTAATACAATGCACATTAAAAAAGAGAAACATAACTATGCAAAAAAAAAACCCCATTTTATATTTATCAAAAAGATTCATTCACCTTTGAATTTCGTAGAAAAATTGAGTTCGGTAACCATTTCTTCACCCAACTCAAAATTTTTGGCCAAAGTTCTTTTTTTTATTATTATTTTAAGTAGATAGCTAATCCATATATACACACATATTATATTTCAGATTTTATTGTATGTGTACTGCATCTATTGACACACCATTTTCTACTTTGTACACACTTTTTTTAATATTAATTAACTACCCATTAATAAAATTACTTTTAAAGACAATAGTATTTTAAAAAAATACTCATAACACACCTCACAATTAAGAATATATATTGCAATTTAAAATTTGTTGTGCCCTATTTTTACAAAGTTAAAAGACAGTAATGATTTCTAGAATGGTTGAATTCATAAATTAGCTAGAACTAGCCTTATGTGTTTTATTTTGAAGCACTCTTTGAGCTTTTGTGCGTGTCAGTGTGTGTGTGTGTGAGAGTGAAAAAAAAAAAAAACCCCCGATTACGGTGAGTTCCTCCCAAATTTCCTCACCCAGCTCTCAAAAGAAAAGATACGAAGTAATCTGTATGCAAGACCCCTAAACTTGCAAGAACAAACATGAGACCTTGCATTTATAGTAGCTATAGATCTTGATGACAACTCACCAATTTCAACTTAATGGAAAAGGCACCCCAGAAATACTCATAATCAATATTTTCTAGTTGCCTACTGTTGTTATTAGGTGTGGTAAACCCTTGTGTCATCTAAAGTTTTATTAGCTGTTGTATATCGATCCGAAATCCTTTAGAAAAAGCTACAGTAAGCAAAACAATGTTTCAAGTGCGATGGAAGACTATTGTAACTTAATTCGGCATGATATTGTTACCATCTATCATTTTGATAAGCTGTTGTATATCAATCCGAAATCCTTTAGAAAAAGCTACAGTAAGCAAAACAATGTTTCAAGTGCGATGGAAGACTATTGTAACTTAATTCGGCATGATATATTGTTACCATATATCATTTTGATAAGCTACTTTTGCAAGTTCATTAAGGGTTTTTGTGAGGAATATTTCTTTCTTTCTAATAGTCCCCCTATTGTCTTTATAGCAAGAGGAACTCCTTTATATTTGTCGACAATATCCTTTTCTATTTCTACAAGTCCATTGTCTATCTCAAACGGATCATAATTTCTTTCCTCAAATGCTGTTTTCTCAAATAAATTTCAAGGGGATATTTTTATCCAAACCACTTCTCATATGTGTTTTTATAAATGTGTTTTATCATATGTGTTTTTATAAATGTGTCGTTACTAGGCAACCCTTATACTCGTAGTAATTAGTAATATTTGGCTGCCCTTTGCACCTAGCTTTAAGAATGTTTTAAGCCCATCTCATTTGTTACTATCCTCATTCCAAACATCATCTAATACAAGAAGGTATCTCTTATCTCCTACCTTTCGTCTAAACTGATTTTGTAATTTCTTTAAATCAAGATGTTGTTATGGACTTATATTAGTCATGGATCTAATAATTTTTTAAATAAGTAACTTCAAATCAAAAAATCAGAAACACATACCTAATAAGTTTTGTTGTAAAAATGCTTTTACACTAGCTCATTATTCAACAAAAATTGAGCAAGTGTGGTTTTGCCTATTCCTCCCATGCCAACTAACGGAACAATGGACATCATTTTTTCAGTTTCAATATTGTTGTCTAATAAAAGGTACAGTTTCTCTTTCTTACTATCATCGATTAAAAAACAACGAATCTCCCTCCCGCCCAATGTAGAGGGGAGACGCGCGATCTCTTCATTGCGCGCATTTAATCGAAGAAAAACCCGATTACCTTTCATATCATCTAGCATCTCTCTAAATTGTTTGATTTTATTATCCATTTTCACTCTTAAGACAAGCTGGTTTGAGCTTGAGAAGAAAATGCGTACCTTCTTTGCCTTCTCCTCTGCATCAATAAGCGCAGCTTCGGTCGTGGCGGCGGTGGCCTCGAGTTTTCGGAGCTCGTCCTTAACCCCGAACGGCAATCTGATTTTCTCGAGAGCTTCGAAAGCCAAGTTTGTAAGGATTCCTTCAAACAACGCTGAAGAGTACGCCTTCCGCCATTTATTAGTAGTAGTTCTTGATTTTCAAGGCATGAAAGAAAGAGAAAGCTCGAACAGGTGAAATTAGAACAGAGTGTATTTCAGAGCTGTGTAAGGCAAAAGATTATAGTTTGCAGTATGAGAAAGGAAGAGTCAGGCTTATTCCCACCATTTATATATGAATGGTATTTATATATAAAATGTAGCCGGGAATAAGGAATAAACTAAAAAAGAAAAATGTAGCCGTTGTGCAAAAGCCCGTTATCTTATTTATTTAGGAATAAATTATTTATTTATTTTGTGGGAGTACCCGTTGGCATCTCCCAACATGTTTGCTGCCCCTGCCCATACATAACATAATTAATTGCTTTTTGTTTGGAAAAAAAAAAAAGCCCACTATCTTGATTTATGAGAATACCAATGTCAATGTGTCATGTCGGCTTAGTTGTTATTTATGTATTTATCATGGATGATTATTAATCCCCTCACATCCTAAAGTGGGAACTAGCCGTTGGGAAAAAATAATGTTTATAATTTAACGTGCGTTTAAAATAAAAATTCATATCATGATTCGAATTATAGTTCGTGATTCGTTATAATATTTAAAAAAAAAAAAACACATAAATTGAAAATAAATTTAAATTTATGAACCAAATGACCCCTTAATTTTTTAAACAATCTTTAATTTTGTCCCATTATTTACCTTTTCTTAAATGGAGCGGTAGGCACACACGTAGTGGGCACATCACCGACATTAATAATGAATAAAAATTCTTACAAACACAAGCTTATGTCAATCTATGACGATGCAGTTTGGAATGCATGGAAGCCTGGAAGGCGATTTGAAAATTTCAAAAGTTGGAGATTTATGGGTGCGATTTTGGCGTAAATAATAGCCAGGTTGTTAATGGAGAAACCGATGCTGGTGAATGTGCTGAAGTGACTGTACAGCTGAGTTTTTTTTTTTTAATGGTAGGATCTCGTGAAGGTAGCACTCATTTTTTTACTCTTGGAACAAGAGACTGTTTTTTAATACATATATGACAGTTTGACAATATATTCTGTTTATTTTTCCAACCCTACTGTAAAGATATATTTGTTTTAGGGGACTATTTTTTTTATAAGAAGGAATGATAATTCTTTTTTTTTTTCCCCAAAAACTTGATGGGGTACTAGGAATTAGGAGGTGCATCAAAAAATCCTAATGAAGTTGACATCCATTGTCGACTAAAGTAAATTTGGGGTCTTAGACAAAAGTTAATTAAAAATTTTGAAAGAATTGATTTAGATCTATATAAAAAATACCAATAGGCAATAACAAGAAACAAAAATAGCTATGGTAAAATTTGTCATAGCAAAAATAAATAATTGACACGAAATAAGCAGTTTAATATTAAAAAATGAAAGGAATCGTTTGATTTTAAATAAGATGATTTTATTCACATACTCTTTTTTACGCTCCACACTTTATTCTAAATACACACCTCATGTACTTTTAAAATGTTCGAATTTTTTTTTTACCCGTCTCTATCACTCCAAATTACTTCTTTGTAACTTTGATTTTCTTTCACACCAAACATTTATTTTAATTCATTACTTTAATAATTTCATTTCTCTATATCTATATTTTTTACTATTGAAACTTTAGACATGAAAAATCTTTTCATACAAAAAAGAAAATTTACTATTACATTTATTTTAGAAAAATTAAAGAAGATTCAAAGCAAAGACCGAAAAAGAGAGATTCAAATCTTCGACCATTGTCGAGGCCAAGACATTGTGATTACCCATGACTTAAAGATGACTCAACACATTACTGCAAACTAGATCCGTCGTTACAAACTTAAAGCCCGTTTAATTCATTGATTTGAGTTTTTAATTTAAAATGAGATATAATTTTATGTGATAATTTTTTACTGTAATAAAAAAAATAAATATAACTATTTATGAGAGATTTTTACTATAATAAAATTTAAATTTTAAACTCAAATCGATAAAATAAACGGAGTCTATAAATTATATTCGTTCTCTTTGAGACCCCCTACAACATGAGCCTCATATCCACCATCGAGCCCAATCCGTTACAAACATACCTGCCCGCGCAGACCAAAACACTATCACAAACGTGGCTCTTTCAAGCTCAGGCCGTTGAGATCCATTATGGGGCATTCGAAATGGATTTTTTTTTAATTTTTTAATTTTTTTGTATTGTTTTTTAAAATAATTTTTTTATTTCTTTATTATCTTTTAATATTAAATCATAATTTTTGCAAATTTAATTAGAATCTAATGGCTTCAATTAATTTGTAATGGGTCAGCATTATGATTAAATAAAAATAGGAATATTAATAAAAAATTTGGTTTATAAATTTAAAATCATAATTTATAATTTTAATTTTTAAAATTTAAATTTTATATGAAAAAAAAAGATTGTTAAGAATTAAAAATTGTGATTTAAAATCAGAGACGAATTTTTAAAATAAACATCTATAAAGTGATTTTTCACAAATCGGAGATATTTTGAAAAAATACATAATTTAGGAGGTAATTATGAAAATAGTATAATTTATCATATATTGCCCAAAAGACCCCTGAATTTCCCTCGTTCTTGCCATTTCGAAATCCTTATCTTTCTCTCTTTGGTTTTCACCCAAATACCAGAAAATGGCGTCGGAAACTCAAATTCACCACGAACCAAATCGGAAGAAATTCTGGTCCCTGAAAGACTTCGAGATCGGAAAACCCCTCGGAAAAGGCAAATTCGGCAGAGTCTATCTAGCCCGAGAAGCAAAGGTGAAGAATTCATCCTTTTTCCATTTCTCGTTTTCTTCAATTTCCAAATCAACACCGATTGTTTGATCGGAAAATCGAAAAAATCATGGTTGCAGAGCAAATACGTAGTGGCGTTGAAGATAATATTCAAGGAGCAGATCGAAAAGCACGGAATGCATCACCAGCTGAAGAGAGAGATGGAGATTCAGACCAATTTAAGACACCAGAATGTTCTACGCCTCTACGGCTGGTTTCACGACGAAGAACGGATCTTCTTGATTCTCGAGTACGCCCATGGCGGTGAGCTCTATGGCGAGCTTAGGAAGTCTGGACATTTCTCGGAAAAGCAAGCCGCGACGGTAAATCCTCTTCGATTTCACATTCTAGGGTTTCATAAATTTGTGCCTTTTGTTTTTAATTCTTTAATTTTGCTATTGAAGTTAGTATTTCTTGTGTTGTTAGTACATTCTAAGCCTTGCGCAAGCGTTGGCTTATTGTCACGAGAAGCATGTTATTCATAGGGATATAAAGCCGGAGAATTTGTTGATTGATCATCGGGTACGCATTTACTCATTGGATAATAACACAATTCGTTGATGGGTTTTATCGAAATGTTGCGTTTTACGTTATATTGTTAGAAATGCTGTAGTTATCTTCTACGTTTTGCAAATCATCTTAAAAGTCGCTTGTGTTTTTAACATGGTTTAAGAAATGGCAAGTCTAATTTCATAGGATTAGTTATATATTCACTTGATTTTGTAAAGCATAGGGATATTTGTAGCATTTCTGAAACTCAACGGTGAAACACGACATTTCGATAAAACACAAGGAGGTTTATTTTTATTAACCCTTTACTCAAAATTTTTTTTTTTAGCTAATCCATTGAAATATTGATCTGTAAGCAGTTTTCGCCTGTCACCCAGAAGTTTAGGTTGTGACTGGATTGTGTTGATGATCATATTTGAACTACAGGGTCGACTGAAAATAGCGGACTTTGGATGGTCTGTGCAGTCTAGCAGCAAGAGGCACACAATGTGTGGGACTTTGGATTATTTGGCACCAGAAATGGTGGAGAACAAAGCTCACGACCATGCTGTTGATAAATGGACTTTGGGTATTCTTTGTTACGAGTTCCTCTATGGTGTCCCTCCCTTTGAGGCTGAAACTCAAAGAGACACATTCAAGAGGTATGACAGTAATTAATGGCTAATGCTAGTATATGTTGTTTTGTGGATTAAATAGAAATGGTCAAGAGTAACTGACTTTTGGTAGTGTTGCAACTACAGAATAGTGAAAGTTGATCTGTGTTACCCTCCTATACCACATGTTTCTGCTGAAGCCAAAGATCTTATTAGCAGGGTAAGTTTCTAACCCTAGTGTTATTAATGAGTATTATTAGCGATGTGATGTTTATGTTAAACGATTCTGGTGCAGCTCCTAGTGAAGGACTCCTCAAAGAGGCTCTCTCTTCAGAACATTACGGAGCACCCTTGGATAATCAAGAATGCAGATCCCTCTGGTATCTGCGAGAACTAGCATTCGTAATTCTATCATCTTGCCACTGTGGCTGTGGCGAACTTACCAGAGTTTGGTTCTGTTTCGCCTGCTGTAATATATTGGCTTAGAGGAACTTAACTTTCTAACTAGAAATACAAGATTGAATTTCATTTATCATATTTGGGCCCGGGGGAAACCTGACTTTTTTTGTTGATGAATGATGAATATAGTCTCACGAGTTTCATCACCTTGACCATAGTATCACCGGATTACCTATACTAGATGTACTAAGACCTCGTTCACTTCGTGGATTTAAATTTTTAATTCGAGTTGAGATATAATATTTTCTGAAAGCTTTTCACTGCAGTAAAAAAAAGTTAGATGTGACATTTTCTGAGAGTTTTTTACTGTATAAACCTAAAACTGAAAACTCGAATCGGTGAAATGAATGAGGTCTAAGTTTCTGTGCATTCAAAGATTGGATTGCTTACTATGATATTGTTTGAACGTAAAAAAATGTGGAAAGCCACAATGAATGATTCAGACAAGATTTCTCAAGCATCAGACAGCAGGCTTGACAGCACGAGCACATCAAAACTGGAATGAGCAATAATCAGCAGAAAAATCACAAATTTTGCAGAAATGCCTTAGCACTTGATCCAAATATATTGCCAATGAGAACAAGGAAGTGTTGTGGTGTAGTTGGTTATCACGTCAGTCTAACACACTCGATCTAAATTTTGCAGACTACATTTTAGAGAAATTAATTACTCTTTATTACCTAGCAAAGTTTTATTTTATAAATAAGAAATCCAACTATGTGGACCCTCTTCCGTTATAAGCTCTTCCTCATTACACGGTGATAGAGGGCCCTAAGCTATTAGCTAGACTTGCATACATATTTAAGACCAGAAGTTTCACAACTAAACATACCAAAATAAACACTAGTAGCTATATAGCAGGCTTTTTAATGTCAGCTGTGTACAAAATTTAGGATCAGTTGGATTCTACATATGCTAGTACAAATTGACTTTTTCTCCTATCTTCTTTGCTTATATTAAACGCCGCCTGAAAAGGCTAAATAGAAAAATACGGGAACCCCCTTTTACATTGTATCTAAACAGCAATTCCACCAAAAACTCATAAAATAGTGCCAACAAGTTTGATAGGATAATCTTCTTGGTGGTCATCTCAGGAGGGCACCTTACTTATGGCATAAGCACTGATGCTAGTATCAGAGATGGTTGTATCACTGCTATTGCCAGAATCACTTTTCTCATCGTTGCTAATGGGATAGGGACTTACTGGGATGGAGATCGAGAGATTTGTGTTCGGGCTTGTGCGATCAGTCCTGCAGGATGTGGCTGTGGCTGGAGGAAGCGGAGCAGTGTTTGTAACGGCAGATGAAGCGGTTGGTTCAAAGGGTTTTGCAAGCTTCTTGGCACCTCTGTGCATATGGCAGGCACAATATTTCTGATCAGGGATTACATCCCTGCGGCACCTCCACTTCTTCCCGTCAGTTCTCCTACACCTCCCCAGTTCAAGCTCTGTGCCATTTCTCTTGTCGATGCACAAGTCATTGCGACGAACAACTGAAAGACAGCAGCTACAAAACATGAATGCCTAAAGGGTGTACAATATATCACAAAAGGGGTTGAATAGTTCGGAAAATACTACCTTGAAGAACACTTTTTGGAGAGAAGCCTAATCCTGGCGACATAGTTCTGCCAACACTAATATTCTTGTTGTTATTGCTGCTTCCTTTAATAGTACTAGTATTACCAAAATACATCTCATTCATGTGGTTCCCAACATTCTGGTTACTCTTAGTGCTTGACAAAACAGGGTTGGAGTTGTTTGTCGCCATCACAGAAGTGATGACTCCACTTCCACGAGTAATGTTTGTGGCTATATATGGTGAAGTGACATAAGTAACTCGTTTCTTACTAAGGTTACTAGTGATAGTGGTACCACCATGGCTGACATTAGTAACATCAGTGGATGGGGTCATAAGTTGAAGCCCCAAAAGGTTTGAGCTCGGATTTTGTACCGATTCGGTTTTCGATTTTTCCGGTCTTGTGGTTGTGGGATTTGAAGGAGAAGCAATTCCTGATGATGCTTCCACAAGCTTTCTTGAACGTTGACGGCCTCTGTGCATGTGCCGCTCACAGTATTTCTCACCAGCAACTACTTTCTTACTACATCTCCACTTCTTCCCATCAGTTCTTCTACACCTCATTGGCTCAGGCTCCATCATGTGTCTATAGTCAAACCCCTGTGAACTAAACCCTCTAACTGAAAACAATCAATTAAAACTTCAACAGTCAAAACACCCAGAAACAATAAGCAAAAACCAGGAAAATTCTTTTCATCGGGAAAATTCTACTTGAATTCTTATGTGCAACAGTTATTGTAATACCCTCTAGCCAGCATAAAATTTCATACCCAAAAAACACAAGTAATAAATAAAACAATCCCCAACTAAAAATCTTCTTTTTTTTTTTCTGGCACTATTAAATGGTACAAGAATGATGAAGCTAAAGCAGAGTTAAAGATCGACCCAGTACCAATTTTGGCATATAACTTCATGCAAACGTATAAAAATTACACACACACACACACCAAAATGGAAGGACTTGCAGCAAGGAAATTGCTTAAAAATACCAAAATCAGAAGTCCCAAGTGAATACGCAACGCTCTCCCAAATGGGTATCACAAGATGGAGAGGAACAGGAAGACCAGCTGCTATATGCCTGTGGATTAGAGTTTGCTGCTGAAACTCCTGTAACTGAGTTATAGTAAAAACAGGCTTGATCAACGGACAAGATTCTTCCTTGAGCTTACTGATCTTCTCTCCATGCATCACCGCCGTCCATTCCTTCTTCCCCAATCCACGACCACCTTCACAACACACACAGACACGCATATATAAAAAGATTGTAGCGTACAGAAGAATCCATATTGAGAAACAAACAAAACAGAAATTACAATTATCAAAAAAAAAAAACAGAAATTACAAAAAGAGAATTAAATGTGGTAATATTTAATAGTAACCAGAGAGTGAAGGGACGCTTTGAGAATCCATGTTTCAACGCGACATGGTCAGTGAGAAGGTTGAATTAGAGCAGGGTCTCAATGTATTGTGTTTATGCGTGAGACAGAGGGAGACCATAATAAAGCTGAAAAAGAAAGAGATCTGAAAAAAAAAAAAAAAAAAACACAAAACACACACACACACACACACAGAAGAGAGAGAGAGAGAGAGAGAGAGAGAGGGGACGACGAGGCATTTTGAAAAAAACTTTAATTTCAAATTTAACCCCAAAAAATAGCACTTATCTCATTTTTTGCCTCCTACAACTTAAAGTAGTACAAAATTTTGATGTTGGTTCATAAGTTTTAACGACACTTTACGTCTTTTTAATTATTATAATATATTTTTCTTATAAAAAATTAAATTTTTATTTAAATTTTCTGTTTAAATTCATAAGTTACAATTTTAATATTTGTGTTATTGGGACGTGAAATTTTTAACAATTTTTTATCTTTTTCGGGGTCACACGGTTATTTTAGAAAGGGCAATATGATAAATTATAAATAAAAACTTTAAAATTTAAAAAATTTAGAAGGGTCCGTTTAGTTCGTTGATTCGAGTTAAGATGTAATTTTATGTGAGAATTTTTTACTATAGTAAAAAAGTTAGATATGACTACTTTTGAGAGCTTTTTACTGTAGAAAAACTCAAATTTTAAACTCGAATCAGTAAAATAAACGGGCCCTCCTTTGCTTCCAACTCCTACATCACCCGTATCTCTTAGGTTGTCTTTAACCAACGAGTCACGTAACACATGTGTTCAAAATTGTTAAAGAAATTAATTTTTAGGCTTCGTTCAGTTTGTGAATTCAAGTTTTGATGTGATTTTATTTAAAAAAATGTCACTGTAGCAAAAAAAGGTTAGATGTGACTTTTTATGAGAGATTTTAACTGTAATAAAATTAAAATTAAAAACTCAAATTGGTAAAATGAACGAGATCTTAATCAATGAAAATATCAAAATTATAACTAATGATATATTTAGGGATAATTTTTTATCATTTTAAGTTGTAAGGACTAAAATGAGACAATTTATTTTTAGGGGTCAAATTTGGAGTTAACTCCTCTCTCTATGGCCATTTGCTAAACTTGGAGACGAAGACAGAGAGGTTAAAGAGGTGTCAGACGTTCTGACAAGTATTTTACCTCTTTCAGACTCAGCCTTTTGCAGTAGTGGAAACCGCCAGGGAAAGGCACTTTCGAGTTTTGTGCGCGTGTAACTCACGTTTCTCTATGGGTGCTTCAATGGAATGTGTGATGCACGCGCTATGCTCAATCCCTGATGCGTCAAGTGTGATGAATTGCTTCTTGTCTGTCAATCAGAACTCAGGTATACAGGAAAGGACGAGAGGAACCACCACGTCAATGGGTTTTCCGTTTCGGCATACACGTCAGGCGTTGTCTGTCTCGCAGGGAGCCACGTTATAAGCCCAATTTTCTCGGGGCCTGCTGGCTTATGGGCCGTTATAACCGACTAGGCCCAGGGATGTCTGCTGGGTAATCAGGCGGGTGAATTTGATAAATACAATACAATACCAGTGGCGTTGCTATTCAATTATACTACTACTGTGTGAGAAAGTTTGAAACGCACACTTTAAAGGATAAAAAGACAAAGTTAACCTCAAACCAGATAGCAATCAACGAGATTTGTGTTTGTGGTCAGATCCTCGTGTCTGTTTGTGATGAACTCGTTAAGGGCAGAGACAATGGACGCGTTTAGACCTCATTTTAAAATGATTTTATTTTTTATATGAAAATAAAAATGAATTTTGGGCTCGGCGGGCAAGCCCATATGCCGGCCCATCCAAAGTTGCATTTTCGGGCTCGGGCTCAAGCAACCCGAATTTGGTCACCACGCCGGAGCCGCCGCCGTATATTGCCATCAACCGCCGTCCGCCGGAGTTTTTTTTTGAATTTTTCCGCCGAAGCCTGAATGCTTGACCCGCCCAAAGCCCAAATTGTCTGAAAAGCGGTCAAAATTCCGACCGTCGGTGCTCGACCCGAAAATAAGCCTGAAAATCCAAATTTTGCCCGAAAACCCGAATGCCCGGGAAGCCCGAATTGCCCGAAAACCCGTCCAACGGCTAGTTTTTTTACCGTTGCCGCCCGAACTCACCCGAACCCTAAACTAGCCATTGCACCCTAAATTTTTTGAAAATAAAAAAATCAATTTTTTAACCCAAAAATTTCCTTATAAATACCTCTCATCCCCTACACATTTTTCTCACTCAAACTATCTCAATCCCTCTCAATTTCTCTCAATCTCTATCAATTTCTCTCAAATCTCTATTACAATTTTTCTAAAAGCTATCACATTATCCTAAAGCTTTCTCTCTCAAATTGCTCTTATTTTTTTATAATGGATCCTTTTGGTTATAGTGGTATTCCCGTTGATGCCCAACACAACGTAAAAGAAGGACAACTTCCCACTAATGAATTTGTTACGCAAGAATCTACTAATCCGAGCCCTGGTGGACGTACTGGAGATCATGGTCGAAATGGTGGTGGGCGTGGAGAAGCAGAGAGTGCCAGTGCGACTGCGTCTGCAAGTGTTGCAACCTCTAGGAGGAAATGCAAGCGCACGTCGACAGTTTGGGATCACTTCGACATAATTGAGGAGATCGATAATGAAGGTAACACTAAACATATAGCTCAATGTAAATATTGTTTATCTAAGGGTCCGTTTAGTTCGCTGATTCGAGTTTTTAATTCGAGTTGAGATATGATTTTATGTGAGAGCTTTTTACTGTAGCAAAAAAGTTAGCTGTAACCGGGCATTACTTTAAAGGATTTGATTTAGATAAGAGAATATTAAGTTTTAAATGTATTCTAGGATCACATAGTACATATTTTATATATAATATCATTTTAAATGTAATTGATGAATTTAGATTAAGAGATAAAGTAATGGCTATAACATTAGATAATGCTAGTGCCAATACAAAAGCAATTGAGTTCTTTAAAATTGATTTAAGTTTATTTGGTGACGGTACTATTTTCCACCAACGTTGTGCATGTCACATAATTAATTTAATTGTTAAATCCGGTTTAAAAGAAATGGGTAATCACATTAAAAGAATTAGAGATAGTCTTGCATGGATTCAAGGTAGTAACCAAAGACAAGAAGATTGGTTTAGGTTCTTACAAGCATTAAATATACCTCCTAGAGCATTAACGTTAGATATGTCTATAAGATGGAACTCAACTTACATAATGCTTCAACAATGCATCCCCTATAAGGATGCTATAACAAACTATATGTGTGCAAAAGTAGGAGTAGGACATATAGACGCATATGATTGGTAAATTGCTGAAGTTTTGTATCAATTTTTGGATAGGTTTCATGAAGTGACTCTAAAACTTAGTGGAACATATTACCCAACATCACCTTTAGCTTTAGTAGAACTTTTACGAATTAGTATTTTATTTAGCGAATATAGGGATGACCCAATTTTAGCAGTTCCTATCTATTCTATGGAAAAGAAATTTATAAAATATTGGTTTAAGTTGCCTTTGTTGTATGGTTTAGGTACTATTTTTTATTCTAGATTAAAATTAGAAGGTTTAGAAAGTAGTTTAGAAAATTTAGGTGAATTTTTAGGCATCAATTGTTCGGATCAATATCCAATAATAAAGGAAAAAATATATTCGATCTATAATAAATATGAGATTAGGTTTAGAGTACCTCCTAGAGTATAGGAATGGCAACAACAAGACGAAAACCCACATTTATTCTTGAATGTTTTCGGGTTGAAGAAGAAGAAGAAGACAACTCAAACAGAAGCTGGGAGTGAATCTTCATCAACAAGTGGCAGTGGCAGCGGCGGCGGCAACTTTAACGAGCTTATGGCGTACCTCAGTGAAGGCTTAGTGGTCGACGGTACGGCAGAATCGTTTGACTTAGTTCAATGGTGGAGGGCACGGACATTAACTTGGCCAATCCTAACTCGATTAGCAATGGATATATTTTCGATCCCTGTCTCCACTATCTCATCCTAACAAGCCTTCAGTACTATAAGAAGAATACTTGAGGAACGCCGGAATGCATTGTAAAGAGATATTGTTGAAGCCTTGGTTTGCATTAAGGATTGGGATCGGGTCGATCAACGTCTACAGGATACAATTTCGCCGGCAAGCCAAGAATGGATCGATGAATTTAATCGATTAACATTTAATTTTGAAGACGATCCTTCAGCTTCAAATTAAATTGTAAATTTGTAATTTGTAAATATGTATTTACCTTTGACATTGTATTTGTAATTGTATAACTTTGTAAGTTTGTAAAATTTATAATTCGTCACAAAATGATTGCACTCTTTTTTCCTTGTCAAGTTTTTATCCTAATTGGGTTTTTCTTGGTAAGGTTTTTAACGAGACAATCATGAATTACGAATTTAATATACATCATTAATATACATGATTAATTTATTCAATTGTGTTAATAATGTATGTTGAAGGTTGATTTTGATTTTTTTTATAATTTTAACACAAACTAACTTAATAATTATAGATATTAAAAAATATTAAAAAAAATTTCGGGCTATTCGGGCGGGCTCAGGCGGCCCGGCCGGGTTCGGGTAGCCAACTATAAGCCCGCGGCCTGTTCAAGGGCATTTTCGGGCTCGGGCGGGCCGCCTGAATTTTTCAGGCGGGTCAGGTTCGGGTTCGGGCTCGGGCAAAAACTCATGTATTTTTGGGCAGTTGCGGGCGGCCCGTCCAAAGTTCCAACACTAATCTCAGACAGAAATCATTTTTAAAAATGCGTTTAGTAGTTTTATGAAGAGATTATTTTTAGTATAAAAAAACCCATTAATGTCTATCTCTACTCTCAATAGGAGAAAACGAAAATAAAAAATAAAAAACGACTAAAAGTCATTTTTCATATCTCCCTCATTTTACACTAAACTAAAAAATCATTTTTATTTCTTTTTTTTTTGTTTTTATTGCGTCAAACGCCGTTTTTGAAACGTTTTTATTTTTTCTTTCTCGAAAAACATAAAAAATAAAAATAAGATTAATTCCAAACACGGACAACGTTTCTCAACCTCACGAGATTTTCTCGGGAACTCCTTTATTAAATGTGTCAACTTGTTATTAACTAAA